GGTGAAAGCGTGACTGGATACTGAGGAAACAGCTTACGAGGGACCCACTTTTGCACTGCTTGTTGTGTCACAGGGGTTTTGCTGAGCTAAAAAAAGATTGTGATTAAAAAAAGGATCCAGGCAAGCTTAGAAAGGATGGCATTTGGAAATGAGAAGCTGTTGCGAGAGGTTTTGGAGGAGAAAGTGGCTTTCTGTGGAAGTTTCTCTTGGCTCTCCAAGCTGGTTTGCGGCGGGCGCCATTTTACCTCACAAAGGGGTCAGGCAGAGCCACCCCAACTGCATGCTGCTGGAGGGAGCTCTGCGCAGCAGGGGGGACGCGGGGACCCCCCAGCACCCATCCCTCTCCAAAATCGCCACAAATGATAGCAGGGCTTGCTGCCCACTCCTCCAGGAGCATTTTTACAGTTAGCACCTGTGGGGTAACCAGGGCTAAGGAGGGACGGCAGGGCTCGGGGGCAGCCAGCCAGGAACCCACACCCAAGGCACTGCAGGAGGACGCACACCTCAGCCTGAAGGCTGCTCAGACAAGGTGAGGACATATATATTTTTATACATTGTTTTCTCTCGTGTGGGAAGGCTTTGCAGCCTGTTCCTGCCTGCTTGCACCCACTGGGGAGCAGCTGGGTCAGGGCTGAGGGGGAAAAATGCCCCAGTTAGTTGGAGAGCAGGCGCGTTGCAGGTTTGGTTTCCACAGGGGTGGCCGCAGAGGGAGGGCCCGAGCATGGGGGATGTCATGGTGCACGTACCCAGGAGGTCTCAGCATGGTGCGCAGGCCCAGCAGTGTCCCCCCATCAACACGGCACAACTTGCCCTCATCCCTTTGCTCCTGTACACAGACAGCTCACCATGTCTGTACCTGCCTGACCCAAGGGCCTGGTGTCCCACACCAGCAGCATCCAGCCTTTGGCTCAGACCTCCATCACACTACAGAAAAGGGGAATGGTGTATTTAAGGTTTCTCGTACTTTGTACCAGAACAGGGGACCAGTTACCAGGTAATGCAGCTTACGGTTTGAGGCTGACTTTCTGAAAGTGAGTGACAGAAGTTCCCTTTGGTTTGTAAATGTTGAAACTGGGGCCAACAGAGCAGGAGCTGAGGAGACAGAGGAAGATCATGACTGTCAGCACACTGAGTGCTCTTGCAGAGCTGGCTGGTGGTCACTTTTTTATTTTGTACAACAGATGTCAGTTAATTTCTTATGTCTACTGTTTGGAAGAAATTGTCTTGCATGATTTTGCTTGTAAATTCCGGTGGGATGTGGCCCAGGTGGTTTCCCATGCCCTACCACAACCTGGATCGCCCATCAGCTTACCCCAGCACTCTCTTTCCACACACTGCACATACTTAATGCCACACACAGTTTCTGGGTGCACAGCACCCTGCAACTGTCTTTTAAGGCTGTGCTGGTCAGTGTTGCATGCTTGTGTAGCTACAGACTCAGCTGAATGGCCTATTTCTGTCAAGTGAAGTTAATGTGAACTGCTCAGGAAGAAGTTATTTTCTGAGAAGACAAAGCTGCTAGTCTGTCTTAGCCATCACTGCTCTTTTAGGTCCTGCATGAGATTTTAATTCCTGTCACATCTACTGTTTCCAAACTAATCTCTTCTGCAACTGGGTATTTCTTCTCCTCTTCCTAGACATGAGGTGATAACATACATCACTTAATTTGTGTTCATAGAATAATATAGGTTGGAAAAGACCATTAAGATCATCGAGTCCAACTGTTAACCTAACACTACTAAGTCCACCACTAAACTGCATCCCTAAGCACCACGTCTACACACCTTTCAAGCATCTACAGAGATGGTGACTCAACCACTTCCCTGGGCAGCTTGTTCCAGTGCTTGACAACTCTGAAGAAATTTTTCCCAATATCCAACCTAAATCTCCATGTTATAACACAAAGTCTCACAGCTGGTTTGCAGAGTTTTCAAAGTCCAATTTTCCCTCGCCATGATGCTATAAGGAAATAAAGTGGTGCAACTTTGATTCCTGGAGAATGACCAGAGATGGAGGCTGAGTACAGATTAGCAAATTTGCAGCATTCAGCTAATGCAGCCCTCTCAACAGGGATTTGTGTTGTTTGCCCCTCCACCTCAGTCTCAGTGTTTAGGCAGATAATGGGCAGATTCTTCCTGTAGGCTCTTGGCTCCTGTCAGGATGCGTTGCTGGACTGCAAGACTGACTATACACAATGCAGGATTTAAATAAAAAAAAAGAAAACCCACACCCTTAGGCCATTCTGTGTTGCTTTCTGGTCCTCCCCAAAGCAAACAGGGCTCAGGGTCCTCCCAGAGACACCTACAAGCCAAGTTCACCTTGTACTTCCAGCAGAGGATACTTGGCAGCGACAGGCCCTGCTTTTCTATTCACTGTGACCCTCTGCCTGCAGCAGGGCATAGTATTCTTGCTTTCCTGATCACTCTAGCAGAAGAGAAGCCTTATCGTGACTCTAGTAGCCAGCCAGGGCACTCTGCATTTACTCTGCCTGTTTACCTGTGTCACTTATAAGAACAGGAGTATTTATAGCTCTGGGACTTGGGAGAACAAAACTCAAGAGGCAGGAAGCGCTGCCAAAGGCATGCTTCCTTCCTACCCTTTCTCCTATTTTGTGGTCTCTTCAGTGGTAACTGCCAGTGTTAGAAAGCAGGATAAGCCTAATTAACTGTTGTGGAAAGTACAAGAAGGGGGCGGCCCCCATGAAGATACTGTTTGTACCCTGAACATAGCAGTCACAAACACTTGTGGCTAACCCACTTAGAAATCAGGACTGCCAGCTTAACAGGCAAAAATGAGCTTTACTCTTGTCAGCACTGACAGACAGCCACCTCATCTAGTCAGGGCAGCCAGGAACAAGAGACAGCAGAGGGACCAGCTGTAAGCTCCCCTGTGCCTTTGCAACATAAGGGCCTTGTACTTTTTAAGTGCTTGTACACTTCATCATTTAGGTTACCTTCAGTCAGATAACACAGGGATAGAGGGGGAAACAAGACAAAAGCCATCCTCTTTTCTTCCCCAACCCCCCCACCCCAAATTAAAATAGCCTTCAAAAAAAAAACCTCAAGGCTTACCTGACAAGGCAATGCATCAGCAAGACTTGTCTCATCCTTTGCCTAGCAAGCACATCCTATCCTCTAAAAAATAATACCCTACCCTGTAAATAATGCAGTATATGCAGCATAGGAATTACAAGCACCGTCATCTGTGCCCCTGTCAGTGTCAGATGAGGTATTCCTCACAGCAATCTGTTCCCCCACCATCCCAGCAGGTGCACAGTGGAAACTTTTGCTGAACTTTGACGCTGCAACAGAGCCTTTTGGTGCATTCCCCAAACACACACCTCCCCAGAGGGAGAGGTGCCCAGAAAGCCTCCTGCTTATTTGCACACCAGGTCCCTTGCTGTCATTAATTGCATCAGCTCTGGAGACCAAAGAGGCAGAGCCCTGTCTATCCACTGTCACCATCTCTGTGCCCACAGGGTGACTGGCGAGACACAGCTACATCTCATGCTTTTCCAGCAGAGCTCCAAGGAGGCCTCCATAAAAAGAGTTATCAGACAGCAGAGAAAGAAGGACATCAGTAAAGCAGGTGGGTCCACCCTCTAAAGCAAATTCCCCCATCACTCACAGCGATGCCCAACTCAGGGGCAGCTGCCGCAGTACAGATCTGGACAGCGTTACTGCCATGCAGCAATTGTGCTGACATGAAGGCAACAGGCTTGCAGCCTGTCAGCCACTCCACAAAAAGTCTTCAAATGGCTGAAATACTCTACAGAGTGGTATTGCCCCAGCCAAGCAGCTGGCCCAACTGCTCAGCTGTTCAGAGGAGCAACAAATGCAGCCCTAGTCTCGAGCAGCCCTTCCGAGACAGACGAGCCAACAAGAGTCAAATTCCAGCACTTCAGCAGTATTTGGCTAAGGAAGACCTCACCAGCACAGCCAGTTACTAGCCAAGCTGCACAGTGCAGTTGTAGCTTCAGCAGTCACATTTCCAGCCCCCAAACCTGCGTAGCATGCCCAGGCTCCCCGCTCTCCACAGCATGCAGGACTTCTTTACCTTTCACCAGGTCCTCAAATGCTGCAGCAGTCCCAACTCTAGCCCTGTCTTGGGTAGGCATGGCTAACAGGCAGCTGGGGAGCAGCAGCAGACACACTCCAAGGCACTGCACGAGCAGAGCAAAGAAGTTGTAGGCAGAAGAGACTGTTTACTGAGCTCTTTTTCTTTGGTCTGCCTAACTACAACTAGTTGTGCTTGGTACCCTCAGTCTTTAATACCTCAAGTAACCCTGTTTAATACAGCCCTCCGACTGCATCTGGAGCTTAGCAGCCCAGTTTTACAGACACTGACCCACAGGCTGCTACATGGCTTGTCACCCATACCTGCCATGATGCTAAGCCACTGACTTCACAGTACATCATAAAGGGTCTCTGACAGTGTCAAGACCTCAGTGCATGAAGCAGCACAGAGAGCCTGGATCTTCTCACCACCTCACTCCTAAGCTCTCTGTCACACTTCACCTTACACTCCATGCCTTTTCAGTCAGCCTGACTTGCCTGCTCTACTCCTTCCATACACTAGTGCCAGCCCACAATGCACCCAACTGCTGAGCATGTTCTTGGAATACAAAGCCCTTTACAAGAGTACAAGCTATGCCCTGTTCCCTGACAGCCCCCCCATCCCCAGCAAGGAGACGTGAGCACCACTTCACAAAGCATGACCAGCATACACTTGTTTGAGCTTCCCTGGCTAGGGCTCCCAGAGTTTAGAAACCAAACAGCCAGGGACCACTTGCTGCACCAAACAGGGTCAATGGAGCAAATACTGCCAAGGTAGCTCTATTCAGTGAATCATGCTTTGCCTGGCATGTGGTCTAACTCCGTACCAGCTGCAAGGCCACAGCGTAAGTAGGCATGTAGATGGATATATATACCCCTTCCCACTGCACACCCCTGTAGCGCACACAGGAGCAAGCAGATTAGAGCAGAAAACAGCAGAAGCAGCAGCCATTGCAAATTTGGGTTTATTTCACTAAGCAGGGGGGAGAAAAGAAAACAAAAACCAAGCTATAGCTGTTCACCGAACTTAATGGCTTTGACTTTAAAGTCACCCTCCACAGCCAAGTATTCAATTTTCTCCATGCCCAGCCGATTTGGGAACTGGAACTCTGCCTCGGGTAGCTTCACTGTTGCCTCTGCTTCATTGAAGGAGATGCACATCTGTAGAGAGACACAAGAAGGAAGGCTAACATATCACAGCTCACAAGCCTCCCTCATTCCCCACTCCCTCCAGTCAGATTCAGGACAGACGAGGCGGCCACTGGTATCAAGGCCACGTTCACTAGCTCAGCCTCCTCCCTGCCCAGAGGCATGCAGGGGAGGAAGCTTGTTTGCTCTGCCCCAAGGTCAGCTCCAAGCTTCTGCAATGAAGGCATGAGACAGACCCAGTCTGAATCTCAGGTCAGGGTTTTAATTGCTTTTACTTGCGTGGCTTGCAAAGCCAAGCCAGAGTGGAGCACTTAACACATCTGAGCTATTGGGCATTGATTTTAGCAGACCAAGTCGAGACAGCAGGTTGGCTTTAGCTGCAAGACTCTTCCCCTGTTGCTTAGTCCCCTTTCCATGCCTGCTCCTTCTCCACCACAGAGGTTCAAGGCAGCATTAAAAATCTGTGCCCTTCGCCGATTAGTGGTCTGTGCCAGGGCCTTGCACACACCCCTGGGTCCTCACCTCGATCTTGTCACCGTGCTGGAAGGGAAAGTCAGCCTTCCTGTCCTCCTCACCCCACATGCCATCCTCCTTCGAATTGCACACAATGGTGTTGACGTCCCCACGGCAGTCGAAGCGAGGGTTGAAATGCAGCATGAGGGTGCTGCTGTCCTTCCCTACGTTCACAGCAAACCTAGGGAAACAGGCAGGCAGTGCAAAGGAGGGGCCTGCGCAGCAGCTCCAGCTACCTGGTGCTGACAAGCTGGACACAGCAGGAGCCCAGGCTTCTCCCAGTGCCAATCAATCCATTCACCATCTCCTCACTCACCCTTTGGCATCAGACAGGATCTTCCCTTTGACCTTGATGCACTCACCAGGCTGGACATCCAGCTGAGTAACGACGAGTCCCTGCAGGGCCAAACCACAGGAGTTAGCCTGTCCCAAGGCAAGCCTACCAGCCCTGCTTGGGCCAAGGCACAAACTAGCTCAGGCAGACCCAAATGCATCTGCGGTTTCATGCTAGAGGAAGGGTTGAGTTAGGCCAGCTGCCTGCCTAAGCCCTCTGCCAGGGAATCCCAGCTCACAGCCACCACCTCCTCGGGGCCTCCCACCCCACTAAGCAATATAAGCTGACAAGGAGGTGATTCAAGCCAGCGTAACAAGAGTAGGGTAAGGGCACTGATGTACCAGCTGCAACAGAAAACATTCTCACAAGCAAGCCTGCACCTTCAAGTCAGCAGTGGCCAGGGCCATTAGCATAAGGTTAACATTAGTTACAGAGCTTTTCTAACACTAGATCTGTCCCTCATCCCTAGGCAGGTCTGCAAGCAACAGGAGCCACCAAAAAAAGTTTGTCTTGACTTAAAGCAGCCTACATAGAGAGACAGAAGGGTCAGCAGAGCCCACTACTGGCTGCAGCCCAGTAAAGCAGAACAAACACCGCCCTGGGAAGCTCCCGCTGCCAAGAAGAGGGCTTGATCCTTGAGCTAGGTTATGCGCTCCCCCAGCCGCATACACCCGGAGTAGAACTTAGCATCACCAGCTTCCCTCAGCTAAGAGGAAGATGCCATTCAGCGAGACCAGACGTAACTCATATCATGCTTTGGTGCCTATGATCCAGGCCCGAGCGCAGTGATGCTGAGCTCCACTTAACCACAAGCCAGATAAGGCAGGGAGACTAATTTCAAATTAGGTGTACTGCATACTTGGGCTTGTCCTCCTTGCCTGGCTGGCACAGGCCCATGCCCAGCAGCTGTGCTTCCCTCATCCCGGCTCAGCCCGCACACAGGCTGCTACAGCCAGGTTTCCCCCAGTCACTGAGCTGCTTATCGTCACGGCACTGGCGCTGCCTTCTGGCTCTATTTCTAGCACAGCCTCAGCGCCCGGGGGGGCTTTCGAGGAAAGGAAGGTTAGGGGAGCAGCGATCGGTCAGAATACACTGCCGCCCTCCTTTCCTCTGCTGTTGCATTAAGAGTCAGCCCAATCCTGTACCCAAAAGGTATTCTTCCAGAAGGAAAATAAGAAGTTTAAGGAAGAAAAGGTATTCAAACTGTAGAGTTGCAAACAGTCCCGAACATTTAGAGTACTCGAGGATATAAACATGCATTAGAACAGCTTCCCCACTCAGATAACATGCTAGAGAAGCAGAAAAACGGCTGGCCAGCCCTAACTATTCCTCCCACCGCCATATATCACCCCAGCGTTTCCTCTCAGCTAATCCTTTTCTCCTCCTACCTCTGGCACCAAGCCCAAAACCCACAGGCAACCAAACCTAGTCCTGCTTAGGGCACCCATCCAGCTTGAGGAAGGCACTCACTTGCTGCATGCTGCCGGCACCAGTCGCACCGGGCAGGCCACCCCGCGCCCCGCTCCGCAGCCCAGCGTGACTCAGCGCTGCGCTCCCGCAGCTTAAATCGCTGGGCAGGACCATCACATGATGGGGGGAGAGCGGCGGGACCAGCTGCGGCTGCTGGGGGCTGGAGCTTTCCCAGCCGTTTAAAGTGGGCAGCGGGAGATCTCCGTCGATGTTGTTCTTTGCAGGCAGGATGTGTATGATTTTGAAAGATAGTGATTGCTTGGTTCTGCGTGATCCTAGAAATCCTTACTGTAAGCTCTTCTAGCTGCTATGCAGTGTATGTTGGCTCTCGTCCCAGGAGCCCGAGTGTGGCTCTGTGCCTGCAGCGAGGTGCCTGCTTTTTGTTAAGTGATCCCTGTCTAAAATCCGGGTTGGAGTCCTCATGTAACTGCTCCAAAGTGACTGCCGCTGAGACTATATGGGTACGCATCCTCCCAGCCCGGCCCCACACCTGCAAGGAGCCAGGACTGGCGGGAGCCCCTGGGTACAAATCATCACTGCTCGCACTCAAATGAATCCCAAGGGTTTGTTATATTCTATGCCAGCATTTAAAACTGCCTGAAAGTAAAGGTTGTTTGCATGGGGCACTACTAGATGTGAGAATTCAGGCTGCAGCTTTTGAAAAGCAGTATGATCTCGCTGGTTCCATTTCAGCTACAAAAGACTCCAGCTTTGTTAGTGGAGGAGGACGCCGGGCAGGGCTTAGTAGAGCCATCAAGAAAGGAGGCTACTTTCCCAGCTAGTCCCTAATGCCTGCTTTCCCCCTTTGCTATGTCCCTTAAAAGCGCCCGGTTACCACTGCCCCGAGGGTCTTTGCAGGGAGGTCAAGGGGGGAGCACATGCCCCCCAGGAGTAATTTGTGGGTCTGTATGACTGGTGCTGCTTGTAGCTTTGGCTTGTCCTTAGCAGGGTCCTCAGGCCTCTGTGCCTCAGTTTCCCTCCAGTGACATTAATGACATGCAGCTTCACAATCCCACTTGTAAAACTTCACTCGGAGCTGCTACATAAACGCAGCGTGCTACTTGTTGCTTCAGCCACGACTAGCCTGTGAGATGCCTATCTGCAGATAACGTTAGCAAGGGCTGCACAGGGCAGCTTACGAAACACCACAGGAATTTACGGTTAGGTAGCAGGAGGAAACATGCTGCCTGGCAGGAGGCTGCTGGAAGTTCCTTAGAGCGTGCTCGCCGTTATAGAAACAGCATCCTGACTCCTGACACCATCCTTTGCCCCACATCTCCCCCCACACCCATTTCTGAGCATTCATGTGGCATTTCAGCATCCTGTATGACTCCGGGTGAATCCAAGCCGAGCTGCATTTGAACTGGAAAGTCACAAGCCTGAACTGGAGCCCTGTGACTGGAGTGTATAAAAGGCCAAAATGCTGACTGGAAGTACTACAGGGAAAACCCAGCCCATGCTGTGGCCCCCAGCTAACTACCTGGCCACGCTGCGCATACGCAAGAGCCACGCTGAAGTGGGGAGTTAACGGCAGGAACAGAGTTGGCTCAGGCAGCAGAAGCCGCTGAGAGCAGGCCCCTCCATGGACAGTTTGGAGAAATCCCCCGTAATTCCACCTTAAGTTTGCCCTGTCTCTAGCATAAAGTTAGCTGGGATCACGTGCGACAGACAGGCTTTAGGCACCTGCTTTCTGTGCAGTTGTTCCCCTGTTCGCTGCCACGTGTGAGGGGTTGAGCAAATTCTCTTTGGTTGGTTGAGTTTTTGTATTTGTTTTCCATTCAGCTCCGTGAAATCCCTGGAGACTTCCCTCCTCCTTTCAGTGCTGCAGCGTTTCTGGAAACGGAGCTGCTGGCAAGACGAGTGGTGCTGGGGCTGTGCAGTGCCATAGCATTGGCCACGGACTCCCCTTCTGAAATGCACATTCCTTGTGAGCTGCTTTTCTGGCCAGAAGTCTCTCATCTGACACCTTCATTCAGACACAGAAATACCTTGCTGATAATAGGTGGAGACTGCACTGTTTGCTTTCCTTGAGTGCTCCACACTAGCAGCCTAATTGGTTTAGCAATAAGCCCTTTGGTCTTGCCCCTGATTTAAAGCACTCCTGGTCTTATGCCCTGTGAAATCAGTAAAGTGTTTATTCTCAGACTACAATGCTGAGATGCCCAGCTGCCCTCCATTTTTCCTAGGGATTAAAGCCAACAGTGGAGAGGCAGAAGAAACAACATCTTCCCTTTTGCAGCCTCCGGTGGGAAGAAGTGGGAGAAAATTCACAGTGGGTCTCCTTCCCTTGCAGAGGGTTTGTAGAGGGAGACAGGCTGTAAAGCAAGGCCATGCTGCCCAGCTCCACCCACCAAGGGTGACCCCAGCCACTCTACACAATATGAGGGAGAGGACACCTTGCGCTGCTGCCAGAGAAGGCACTCAGCCCCGACACACTCTGCTGCCTGGGATGGGAGTTTTGTGCCTAAGGAAAAATGTAAAGCTCACGGCAGGAAGGCAGAGGTAGGGTGTGCTTCAAAGGCCTGGGGGGGAAAGACAGAGATGCTGTCCCACGCAAGCTGCTCTTGCACGCCGGGACCATGAAAGTGATGTTCTGAGAAGAAACCGTGGGCAGGAGACAGAATGCAGAGAAGAGCATCAGGATTGTAGCAAGGGATTGCAATGCGTAGAGGCCCTGAGAGGGGGTAGTTGGAGTGCATACATTGTACATGCTCCCATTTCCAGGAGTTACTGCTCTCTTCCCACCAGCCAGCTCTGGCAGAGGCAGGAAGAGAAGAGTCATCTCCTGCTCATCCAGAGGGTGATGCCCAGAGGTATTTTCCCCTGTGGGGAAAATTAAGGGTGTCCTCCCAGCACCTGGCCTTGCAGGGTTGCTCAAGGGCATGGGGCCCTGCCCAGCACCAAGTGCGCAGCCCAAACTCTTAATTCATCTCTTAGTCTGCACAGGCTGAAGCCAGACAACTGGCCAGCCTGATATTCTTGTAACTCCCTAGAAATGCCCCAGATCTGCTTTAGAAAACTGTAAATACCAAGAGGATGCTGATTGTTACTCTTTTTAATCTTCCACGAGAGAAAATACACCCTAGCCCTTGGCAAGTCATATCCCTGGCTAATCACTCCTGTCATTAGAAATGGCTTACCCCTGGTTTTGGAAGGTCTAAGAACGCACCTCTGCTGCTGGCTAAATCAAGGACTATGGTGCATTCTCTAGCCTCCATGATACAGGGTGCAGAGGCCAGCAGTGCTGGCTCTTCAGTATCTGTGCCTGGTTTGTCTTGCACTGAACACACACACACTGGTAGCTGCTGATGCTACATATCCTGGTTTTCATTGCTGTAGCTGAGAAAGAGGCCCCACTTCTTGCTGAAAGAGCTAATAGTAGCTTTCTCCTCCTTTGGAGATGGCATCTGGCCTCAGCTCCAGCACAGCAGTTCTGTGCATGCGCTTCCCTGAGAGGGCACCGCCACTTCAACCATCACGCCAGTGGGAACGCGCCCCCAAATCACTTAGGCTGGCCAGCGAGGGAGAAAAACTGGTCCAATCCATTTTCACTGGTGCAAGATTTATACTGGTAAAATAACGACAAGAAACACTCCTCGCCCTTTTCTAGTGTGAGATAAAGCTTGCAGTTTGCTGTAAGTTAGGGGGTTTTTTTGACTTTATTTAGGGAAGATATGTTCTTGTCTCTAGAAGTTCATTCGCAGTTCATCAAGCAAAGACAGCATCTTTCACTTCCACTGTCTTTAGGGAATACTACTGTCACTACTGTCTGGGTGGGATTCTGGTCTCAGCAATAGCTCGCAGTTCCTCTTGAAACCGAAGTATTACGCTGTTGTAGCATAATAGATACACACATATATACACACACACGGGGCTGTTTTCTACCTCTTAGAATATCTGGGGACTTTACCTTAAGCAATCCTCTGCTATTGCTGTTGATGTGTCTGATTCTTCCTGTCTCTCCCGAAGCACGTTCATTTGTCTCGTCTGAGAAGTTCCTGCCTTTTTGCTTGAGTAGTCATAACCCCCTGAAGAGTTCTGTTGCACACAATTTCTCTGGACCCTGCTGCACCAAAGGTCCCTTACGTGGCTGGCTAAAACAATGCTCACACCACCATCGTATCTTCCAGCCCTATACTATCTGTGGGGGAATTTTCAGAGTTGGTCAACGTCTTGAGTTCCTGCATCTTCTAGAATTATTCGCAAAAATTTTAACTTATGTATCTTAGAAGTTCCCTTAGGGGGCCACACATCCATAGGTCCCCCTCCTCTAGTTCTAGTGAGAAATGGCCATTCCTTCTGACATAATAATATCAATTTCTTTTTCTTCAAAGTATGAGACAAAGGTATCTTACTCCAATTTTCTAAAACCTCAGCAAGGGGCGTCCCCCTTTCAACGCTGGGTGTAGTTCCCATATCAAATACTTCAAGAAAAATTTAAACACAAGAGA